GGTGGGTGTATTTGCTGTGAACCATATTAATTGTGGTTGTTTATCACGATCTTTATGCCTGGTCACATTTTTCTATAGGATTTCGTCCTGGATATTTCACACTAAATAATAAATATTTAAATACAGTTTGTGTCACTGTTGTTTACTTGATATTTTATACTCCATCACGTATTTACTCAGTTCTACGTCATCAGTTAAGAGCAGATTTTTATCACATATCAGAAAAACTTTATTTATTCGGAGGATATTCCTAGTTATCGATACCTTGGATTCACTGTCAAGAGTCAATATAGAAATACCGAAGTTATTGTACACTTGCAAAATAATCGTTGTTCACTTAACAGTATTTTGTTGGGCTTTAATGGACTTCATTTGATATGCGTTTTATAACTACGATTAACGTTTTATGGGTTAAACAACAATCTTAACTGACTCAACTAAATTTCTGCTCTACTAAATATGACGTGGAACTATCAACAACATGAACGGTTGTTGCTGTTAAACATAAGTCTTTAACACTGCAACACAGACACATTCAGCTAATACGTTCCAAACATGTTGCGGTCGATCACTTTAGTCTTAAATATCAACAGTGTTGAGACAAAAATCTTCATATCAATCAACAGTGTAAATTATTTCCCACTTGCTTTCAAGATTATTTTCCTCGTGTTTGCATACTTCAAATATACTATTTTGTAATTTGTTTTTAGCTAACTTCGTGATTTCTACTCCACGTGGTTATGTTGGACGGTTATCTTTCCAACGTACGTTATACTGCTTAGGTGATATGGTACGGGGTTATTTTGACTTTAATGAAGCTGTTGTTAAATGCCTTAGTTGTGTAATACGACTTGAAAGTGAGGAAAGATTTATGCTTCACCATGAAAATCCTTTCCTCCTGCCAAACTGTAGAATTAAAAGTAGAAGGAATGAGGTTCAGAATTGTTCTATGGGATGTCTACCTTTAACCAAAATTGGTCAACCTTTATGTACAAACTTTCAACCTTTAGGTAAGTTTAACTGTGGAAACTGCACATATTGTTGATTGCCTATGTGTGATAATCCATCGTAACTACTGTGCAACCGGTCGTTCACCTTCATAATATCATTATACTGACAGGCAGCTGTATAAAACCGTTCTTTCTAGCTTGGTAGACTATGATCATTACCAGTGAATTTTTAAACATTTTAGTAAAATTTTGAGTTGCTAATTTTATTGAGGTTAACTAAAACTGTTTATCAGAGTCAGTGCTTAGTGAATATGCCTTTTGGTTTACTAACAAATCTGGGAATATATACCTTGAAATTCCAACCGGGTAGTAAAATAGCAAATTTCTGGCTGTTCACTATCAGCGATATGCAGATAGTTGTTCTGGCTTTCCGCAAATATTTTTAGTTTGAATAAAACGTTATCAGAGAGTTAATCGTTTTAAAACTAGGACGTTGAAACCAGTTGTGCCCACAAATGCCCTGGTATGGCCGAGAGTGGGGTGGGCCCGCCCTCCCTCGAAATGCTCTCACACGGCCACGCGTACTCAGACTCCGTCAGGGAAGTCATACTCACTGCCTTCTCGTGGCGGGGATGTTGTTTACGAAATTGAGGGGACGAAAAGCAGATGTCCGGCGCTTTAACCGGATTCCAAACCAATGGTGCACGTGGACTCCAGTATCCTACGGGAACAAATGGCGTATGAACCAATCGTTGGTCACCGGCTACCATGGGACTGCATCTCCTCACGATGATCCGTTGCCTTGTGGGTCAGACATTTAGGTCCAAGGCTCGGGGTGTGGCCCCCTAAGAAAACCACCTGCTTCGGTCTGGGAAGTATCCCAGCCCTCACAAAAAGCGAATGATTTATGTGGCGCATATCTATTTGGTGCCTCCTTGTACCAATGTTTATGTGTTTAAATAAATAATAAAACCAGTTGTATACGGAAAACCAACATAACTTGGGAAGTATACTTCTTTCACAGTTTTATACACCTCTTTAAAATAAAAAATACAGTGGAAACCCTAGGACATTATTATAAACTCATTTTCTTTAAGAATATCAGAGTATAAAGTAAACACTTCATATTCTGTTTAATAGAATAGTATGTATAGCAATATGTACAACCGATCACATGAAGCAGCCAAAGATGCAGACTCGAATAATATTTTTTAAGGTATTGCTGCCTTCGAAATTGAAAGTTAAAAGTGATGTTAGTGAAAGTGTGACAATATCAAGGCTTATATAGATTCACCTATCCAACTACTTCTGTGTTGCTAGTTCATGTAGTTGATTATAAAACTCACAATGTATATATTAGTAAATAGTTCCTAATATTATCTTCGCTATTCTTTTGTACTTATAATTGTTTTCATTCGTTCTATAACCTATGCATCATGATTTATTTTTACTTTAATCGTGTTATTTTTTATTTCAGGCTCTACACAACATACTACATGGACAGATATAAAATTATATTGTACATCTAAACTGTTATTACCTTTTACATTGCCTATTCCAACAAATATAACGCCACAGTTTCATTCTGTTAGTTTAACTAGTCCATTTATTTCCTTAGATTATCGATGGCGTTTACACTTAGAGCTTGATTTAATATCTGATAGTAGTAAAAATGATTTGTTAGATCATTTTCAAGGTAAATCATGTTTAAAAAGAGCCTACGGTACGGTATGGACAATTCCACTTAACTTAAAAACTGAAAAATTTGTGTGGGATATACCAATCCAGTTAGTATATTCAAATCCTTCTGTGATAGATAATTTAAGTGATTCACTGAAACATCCCGTTTGTATATCAGATATTTGACATCTTTTCTTTATATATATATATTTATATTTTGACTTTTATAGGTTTATTTTTTAAAACTTTTACTTATATTAAAAATGTAATATTTTGCGAATATGTATATGCTATTTGTATAACATCTCAAATACTTCTATATCCTACCTAGTATAAATTGTTCTTATGGGTGCATAGCTGTAATTTATTTTGTTTATATAAAGTGATTAATTTGTCCATTAATACTAATAATTATTTTTTTAAAAATACACAAATATATCTTTCTTTACTCTTATACGGTGTTTGCTGTACTTTATGATACTTTCCAACTTGAAGAAATAAAGTGGGAATGATGGTAGTAGGGTAATTATTTCTTCTTGCTTATTACACCTTATGCCGTTAAATAGCGTCATCTAAATGTATTAACTAAACATTTAGACTTTCTGTTGATAATTCAAAGTGGCTAAGTTTAATCCATCGATAAATAGTAGCAAAAAATTGTATAGGTTCACTGTATATTCTCACATTTCAAAGTTTGGTTATTTATTTGTTATTATGTTGGCTAGTAGAACGATATTTATTTGAAATACACCTTTATAAGTGAATAGCACTATCAAAGTCAACGTGCTAAACGGTTTAATGTAGAATTGGTTATATTTGAGTTTGTGTTTACATCTAGTCCAAGTTCGTGTATCTCTTGGGAACGTGTTTTTAAATAGGCTAACACCATTTCCTTTAGATCATTTGTTCTAGCAATATAATCAGATACTCGGAATACCTTTTTGTATAACCTTTTGTTTTATCCCTTTCCAAAAAACAAGTACTCAGCATTTCATCAGAGGTACCCACTACCCTCATTTTTACTTAGTTTCTTTTACATATAACTCCGTCTAACTTTCCAGAGGTTCATCTACAGGAGATTCGCTTATCTGTTTAGTGAAGACCATATGATGATCCAAAGTTATTTGAACACTGGTCAATAGTTTACATATAGTTGTAGTGAGTTTCTCCGTCCCTAAATGCAAAATGTGGCTTCAGGAGTAATATCTGTCATCTAAATCGATTATAGAGAGTAACTTCACTTATCTTGGGTATCTCATTGGTCGTGGTAGGTTTTTATCTGATTAAATCTTAGCATGGACTTTGAAGGCGTGCTTGGCTTTTCCCAACATACATCAATTATGAGGTAGCCGAGATTTCTGCCAACCGAAAAACCAATATACTGCTTCGAAATTCATTGTCCTTTGTTTTATGACCATAAGATTTGGGCTTCAGAAATAGGTAGAAACCAACGACTAGTATTTACTTATAGGTGTTTTATAGTTAATGGTCATGTATCGTCCAGTGGCCCCGTAAGTAATCCCAAGAGTGCGCGTGGTATAGCAAGGGGGTTGGTAACTCGGTCAGTCTTCAACAGGTGCTTGAGAAATGTACAAATTACCCACAGCTACCGCCTGCCAGGACGCAACGTCTTGCTTCATTAGACTTCTAAAATTTGAGGTTGGTTGTAATAGTAAATTTATTAGTATTCCTCATCTTGATCACGTAAAATATATCACGATCAAATAGCTATATGTGTCGTACTTATAATTCTTTTTCCAATTTAAAAGTTATTTAAATAAAATTCCCAATTAGATTACAGTTACATTTCTGAACCGATGTAGTCAATGAGTGGTAGTTTACATTTGCTAACTTTTTCTGTCATTCTCTGCTCATGTAATTGTTTTTTTTTTCAATAAAATGAACCTCATTGGTCATCTCGTGACGAAATTTTAAATAAGTGAAGTGAATGTCACAGGCACTTTATAAGATACTAGTACTACTGAGAAGTAATCTGCTAGTATGAAAAACAATCTCTTGCACTCGCACCCTATTTCCTATCATTAAGACATTTGCTTTTAAGGTATCTAAGTTTTATGTGAAATGACTCTCGTTGATGAAGGAGGGTCGATTTATCCCACTAGCCAATTACCTGACATGACATTTCTTTTATAAGACTAACAATTAATTAACTGGGATTCATTCAATTGATATATTTTTAGTACATAAAATATTAAGCATTTTATGGTATTCAAATTCATAATTTTTTAATATTACTCACTAACTTTTATTTGTAAAATTATGTTGAATGCTTTATAAATTATGGATAAGATTTCTCCATGATAGTTAATATCTTTGAACCGTCTTTATTTCTTTACTCAGAATTAGATTTCAAATCGGTATTTGGTATGCTTCTACACGCTCCATTAATGTTTCGGCATAACCTGGGGAGTAGTAACGTACAACCTCTTCTGGATAGCAGTTGTTTATAGCATTAATGTACTCCGACAGCAAGCCTTCGTTGTCGTCCTTTAGCTCCTGTATTTTTTTAAGACCCCCAGATGCCACAAACCACCGACGTGCTCTGCTATCATGTGGCAGAACTTTGCTAAACTGCGCAACTGCATGTTTCAAGATACTTGGAGGTGCTTTTTGCAATAAAGGTTCTAGTGCTTCTAAATTAATACACTTCTGAATTATTAGCTTCAGTGCCTTTTTGGTCTAAAAGAAAAAGTGACTATGAGTGACTATGATACCTTTGTTTTAAGATCCTCTGAAGCATTTTGTTTTAGATAGCAATCCAACAGATTTTGCAGTACGTCGGCTTGAGCTATGGCTTTCGCATGTTCAGGGGAATGGCGACCAATCTGACCAAGCGCCCACGCTGCGGCAGCCTGTATCTCCTCGCTCGATTCCTTTATGAGTACACATTTTAATTGTGAAACCCCCTAATGGAAATGTTTATCATATGTAACAAATTACGTTTGAAACTATCACAGCCATCGCTAAGGTTTCGGAATGAGCAGCTATATATCCCAAACCCATAACACCTGGTAGACATGTAAATCCTTTAGTATCTCCAATCTGGTCAACTATTGCAGCTATCCCGCCGCAGTTAACAATTAATTGACTGAGTTCTGGTGTATGTTTGACTATTTCCTTGACCAGATTGCCGCAGTTTTTCCTAACAATTTCATCCACGTCTTAAGGCACACCAATGCAGCTGGAAATATTTCGGCTTCAACTACTAGCTCCGCCAGGTCCACAGAATGTTTAGCGATTGTTGATAAAGCAGCAAATACTTGGCGCTAAAAGAGTTTTATTAAAAAATCACCCGTCCAACCTTAAGTAGTGAATCTTGATTTAGTACAAGCTGTGCGAGATGAGCGATTGCTCCACCGTCAACAACCGATTGGGCAAGATCAGCTGTATGTTTTGTTATTTCGGCTAGTGTACATGCAGTTGCTCTTTTAAGACTTATTTCGGGTTCTTGAATGCATAACACAAGCAGTGGAATAGCACCAGCATCTACGACCGCCTGAGAGAGCTCAGCTGAGTGTTTGGCTATACATCCAATTGCACATGCAGCACCCTCTTTTACAGCTGGATCGAATTCCTCCAAACAAACAGTGAGTGCATCCAAAGCTCCACAGTCTACGATACTTTGTGAAAGTTCAGCGGAGTGTTTGGCAATCGACTTCAGTACAAATGCGGCAGCTCTTTTATAAAATCTCTAATAAAATAAGATAAATGAATTAAACTAAATACGTTCTGTTGAGCTAGAGAATAAACAAGTTGAGGTAGGATATCACCTTTAACAATAACTTCAGCTAAATCTTTTCGATGATTAGCTAGACGTCCTAGTGCGATAGCCGCAGTTTGTTGAATTGTGGGTACCGTATCAAGTAAAAGTGGTCTCAACAAAGATAATACTCCTAAATTTTGTAGAACATCAATATTTTGTGGCTGGACAGCAAGCTCGGCGACGGTTTGTACAAATTTAGTTCTAGACTTTTGATACTGCTCAAAGTCTATATTTAAAAAAGAGGGTTAATATACGTCAAACCTTGTAGTATCCGACGCTGGCTCATTTCATAAATATGAATAACCAGTTGTCATGGTGATCGGAACAGATAGAGCGATTGAACTTCGTACAGAAACAATTTTCATTTACTCAAATGATGTACATAAAAGAGATTCAAATTCTCGAAGGTATTGACCACTGCTTTAAATAAGTCTTGGTTGTGGCACCTACAAGTATTTGTTCGTGGCTGCTTGCACAGTGCGACCAGTGTTTGAAAAACGTTGCACTGATGTTCTTTTAGATACTGTTTCACTATCAATTTTCTAACTACGAGTTCTTGAAAAATGAGTGACATGCCTTCATTTTTTATTTTCATCTTCAACACTTGTTTTTGTCTCTAAGTTTTGTCAGCGGCAAGAGCATCTCCAGGTACATTTTACACTGTTGTAGCGGTAAATAAATCCCTAAAATAAATAGCCCTGTAAGTTTTCGACATTGGATGCTGACCATGTGTTTTAGTGGACTAATCTGGCTGAAGGCGCTCGGTCAGGCATCCGCACCAGATCACGTGTGGTAACGCTGTGCTCAACATCTATCGCAATCGCTAGCCAGATTAAATCAGTGAAATTCCGATATATTGGTAATCGCTAAATACACTCTTCCGATCTCCTCGACCCTGTCTTTTGATTTCTCTTGGTGGGTACAAATTATATTAGAAGGTGTTGCTGGTAAAAGCGTTGTCAAACACTGAATACCTGTATCATCATCATTGGTGAGACCGACGTGATCTGGTACACCTAATTGCAACTGTGAGTCTGTTCCTTTTTGGGCCTTTTTATATATCATTGCCTTATTTTTTATTTTTTATACATTGTGATATTTTTTTGGTTTTTTTTTTGGATATATATATATTTTCCCCTCGTTCATTATCGTACTTTATATTTCATCATGATAGAACAGACTGCAAAAGTATTTAAGATTAAGACCATGTCCCCGCCTTCGTTTCAACTCATGCCTTTCTGGCCCGACAACATCGAAGCCTGGTTTTGCTACGCAGAAGCCGACTTCTCCGAGCACGGCGTGAACGACACACGTGCACAATTCCTCGCAGTAGTCAAGGCACTACCACGGGAATTCAACAGGTACGTAAAACCTAGTATGTTTACTAGTGATGTTTCCGAACCTTATGAAATCCTAAAACGCTCGATTCTAAAACGAGGAGACCTAACCGATCGACAAAGGTTAGATCAACTCTTCAACCTGCAACACGGTTCTGCGACGGACATGTTGCAAAGAATGAGAGAAGTGATAGGCCTAAGAACTTTCGATGAAGGCCTATTCAAACAACCTTTCTTGTTTAAACTTCCCCAACAGGTGCAAGCGGTTCTGGTCTCGTTTCAGAACAACGCCTTAGACGAACTGGCTGCATCTGCCGACCGCATTTTAGAAATTACGAAATCTTCTGCTACCGAAGTATTTTCAGTCAAAGAAAAGACTCACACGACTCAGAATGACATAACCGAGTTATGTCATACGCTCACGCGTTATCTTAATCTTCGTACCGACCGTAAGAGTTCGCACACCCCACGTAGAAGCATTTCACATGAGCGATCTGTCTCTAGACCACGAGAGACGGATAACCCCGACTGGTGCTGGTATCATAACCAGTATGGAAAGTCTTCCAGAAATTGCAGGAAACCCTTCAATTTTCCCAACACGAAACAGACTGACTCGAAAAACAACTCGAGAAACTTCCAATCCGCACGCGTTAAAGGCAACCGTAGCCGGCAAACATAGCCGTCTGTTGTATGTCACAGATGTAACAACGAGAGTTCGCTACCTCGTCGACACTGGCGCAGAAGTTAGCGTTCTCCCAGCAAATCCTAACGACCGGCTTCACGAATCGACTCTAAACTTACAGGCGGCAAACGGAAAACCGATCGCCACGTATGGCAAAACGTACGTTTACCTTAACGTGGGTTTACGCAAACCCATTCACTGGATCTTCGTTGTTGCGGATGTTTCTATGCCAATCATTGGTATGAACCTTCTACAACACCATAATCTAATCATCGACATGCGCAATCGGAGGCTAGTAGATGGAAACACTAATTTATCCGTTTGTGTAACCTCCTTTTCTGGTTGCAGATTATCCCCAGTCACAACTAAGCATATGATAGACCCACTCTATCAACCACCACTCGATAAGTACCCTGGGATACAACAAACTCAACCGAAACTACCGTGTGTAACCAGCAACGTTACACATCACATCACGACTACAGGACCACCTGTGTCCTCTAAAGCACGACGACTAGCTCCTGAAAAACTAAGGTTAGCGAAAAACGAGTTCGATCACATGATAGACTTATGAATCATACGACCATCAAATAGCCCATATTCATCTCCGTTGCACATGGTCCCTAAAAAGGACAGCAACGATTGGCGTCCGACCGGCGACTATCGGCGATTGAATGCGAAAACCATTCCCGATCGTTACTCGTTGACTCACATTCACGACTTGACAGCTACCTTGAAAAATACAACTGTCTTTTCGAGAATCGACGTGTTTAAAGTGTATAGTCTTTCGGTCTAAGAAATGCTGCTCAAACATTCCAAAGATTCATAGACGACGTTTTTCGAGGTCTCAACTTCGTACACGCGTATGTTGACGACTGTCTAATCGCAAGTCCGGACAGAGAAACACATCTCAAGCATCTGGATCTTGTTTTCGAACGATTACAAAAACATGGCATAACTGTAAACGTTCAGAAATGCCAATTCGGAACCGACTCATTAGACTTTCTGGGACACACTATCGATGCTCAAGGTATCCGACCCCTTAGAACCAAAGTGGCGGCCATTCTGGATTACCCAGAACCGACCACCGTCAAGCAATTACGCACGTTTAACGGCCTGGTAAGTTTCTATAGACGTTTCATACCGAAATGCGCATTACTTATGAAACCTCTGACCGACCAACTTCGTGGAAATGCGAAATCCATTAATTTGGACGACACCGCACGAAAAGCATTCTCCACAGTTAAGGAACTGATCGCTAAAGCAACAATGCTCGCACATCAGGACACCCGAGCACCCATTAGCATCGCAGTAGACGCATCCGACTCAGCAATCGGAGGAGTCTTACAACAATGGGTTAACAACTCCTGGCAACCCTTGGCATTTTTCTCTAGAAGGTTGCTAGACACCGAATCGAGGTACAGCACATTCGGTAGGGAACTCCTAGCTATGTATTGTGCTGTACGGCATTTCCAACACTATATCGAAGGCCGTGAATTCACTCTTTTCACGGACCATAAACCGCTCACTTTCTCGTTAAGCTCTCCTTCTGACAAGTACTCTCCCCGTGAGTCTCGACAACTGGACTACATTTCGCAGTTTACTTCAGATATTCAACACATCTCTGGAGCAAACAATGTAGTTGCAGACGCCTTATCTCGCATAACTTCCTTGAACAGTTTCCAAGGAATCGACCTTCTTAAACTCGCCGAGCTTCAAAAAGAAGACACTGATCTTCAGCACGAGTTATCGTCCACAACACTTAAACTACGCATCAAACAGATGGGAACAGGTAAGGAAACCTTACTTTGTGACACATCTACAGGTAGGGATCGCCCAATCGTGCCGAAACATTATCGACGCAATGTCTTCAACACATTGCACAAACTTTCTCATCCAGGTGTTCGTGCAACCATCAAGCTTATAGCAGAACGATTTTGCTGGCCTGGCATGAATAAAGACGTGAGGGAGTGGGCACGCTCCTGTGTAAGCTGCCAAAAATCTAAGGTTATCAGACACAATAAATGTCCCTTAGGCTCGTTTAAAACTCCCGATGCTCGTTTCGACCATGTTCATCTGGATTTGGTAGGACCTTTACCAGATTCAAATGGATACTCTTATCTCTTAACCTGCGTAGACCGTTTCACTCGATGGCCAGAAGCAGTACCTATCAAGGACATCACTGCTGAAACAGTGGCCCGCACCTTCGTCGAACGATGGGTAGCAAACTTCGGCTGCCCTTCAACCATCACTACAGACCGCGGACGTCAGTTTGAATCTGATCTTTTCCGTCGTCTGACCACACTTTTAGGAATCACTCGCTTCCGAACGACCGCCTACCACCCACAAGCAAACGGGTTGGTAGAACGTTTTCACCGACAACTGAAAGCTTCGCTATCAGCTGCAAACGTTTCACAGTGGACCGACGCTCTTCCACTCGTCTTACTAGGTATCCGCAATGCAGTGAAAGCTGACATTGGATACACTGCGGCTCAACTCGTTTATGGAACGACACTTCGACTTCCAGGAGAATTCGTGGATCCTTCGTGCTCTTCGATGAACATGGATCTAACCTCCTACACGAACAGGCTTACAAACGCAATGCGTTCAGTTAAACCTGCTTCCACTCGACCTCAATCAACTGATGTTTTCGTTCAACCTGACTTACGATATAGTACACACGTTTTCGTTCGTCGAGACTCGCATCGACGACCATTCGAATCAGCATACGAAGGACCTTTCAAAGTTCTTCAACGTGAATCTAAGTACTATATAGTCGATAAGAACGGAACCAACGATAGCATCAGCATCGATCGCTTAAAAGCAGCGTATTTAGAAGGAAATCCTATCTACGTCGATTTTCCTTCGGTACAATCGAACGACACGACTCCACTCATAATTCCTCATCCGACAACCAACACAGCGATGATACTTCGAATGTATCTGAAAATAAACTTAAAACGACGCGTTCTGGAAGAAGAGTGAGATTTCCAGAACATTTAAACGACTATTGCACGTAAGGCACTACTCGACATTTATATTATCTCGATCTTTCTTTTTACGATATTTTTAAAAAAAAACAATTTTAATATGCTTATATATTTTTATTTCTATTAAAAAAAAACAAAAAAAATTTTTTTAACGATATTACGTGTGAATTAGTTTAGATTCCATTTTTTTTCGCCGACATTTTGTTTTTACGCGCATACGAGTGTATTTTGACATGCACTTACATTTTCTTTTTTCTTTTCCAGGACGGCTGGAAAA